TTCATATAGCCCCCATAGAACGGTACCTCCCGATATTCGGCATTTTGATGATTTTAGCGACATTATTCACCGGAATTGTTTCAACTTTGGTATTTGAAGTTCGAAATGGATACTACAGCCTAAGACAGAAAATTGTCTGTGCAGGTCCACGTCTTCGTATAGCCCCCATATAACGCTACCGCCCTATATTAGGTATTTTTATGATTTTAGCGACATTCTTTATCGGAATTGTTTCAAATTACGTATTTAGGGTTCATAATGAGAACTACAGTCTGTGACAGAAAATTATCTGTGCAGGTCCACGTCTTCGTATAGACCCCATATATCAGTACCTCCCTATATTCGGTATTTTGACGATTACAATACTCACCGAAATTGTTTGAGATGTCGTATTTGAATTTCGTAATGAATGCTACAGCCTGTGACGGAAAATTGTCTATGTAGGTCCAGGTCTTCGTATAGCTCCGTTAGAACGGTACCTCCCTATATACGGTATTTTAATGAATTTAGCTACATTATTCACCGTTTACTTCACGTTTCTCATTTGAATATGGTAATTGATTATAACAAACAATGCCTGTGTAGGTCCACGTCGTATAGACCCCAATATAATGGATATAGCCAACATTTTTAAGATTTTAACAGAATTTTTAACTTATTTTATTTTTTGATAATTTCCAAATTCATTCAAATGGTGAAGGGTATTCAAGGTTCGGCCCGACTGCATTTTTACTTGTTCAAAATTATAAGCTATAGGGTAGCACTTTTAGAATTTAACAATTTTTTTTATATAAATATTACGATATTCGAAAAGCATTTTAGGGATTCTGCCATATTCGTTTAGACTTATTCTGTCATATGCCTCCAGAAGGTCCGTCCGTCTCTCTGAATGACTGGCTGGTGCGGAGATCGGCAATATCGGTTCACTTCATCTAACACCTCCCTCACAAAAGGTCAAAATGTTCACAAAAAATAACTTTGCTTTTCGATCATAAAAAGTTCACATTAAAAATTTAGATTCGTTCCAACAGTTCCACATTTTTATACCCTCCACCTTGGAAAGGAGGGTATATTAACTTTGTCATTCCGTTTGTAGCATCCTTCGTCGTAGACCCCATAAAGTATAAATATTCATAATCAGTTGATTTAACGATGTCCGTCTGTCGGTCCGTCTGTTGAAATCACGATACAGCCCACATTATTTGACGTAGAGCGCCAAAATTTAGCAGAGCAATTTGTATTTTGTCTAGGATGGTTGATATTGAAAATGATATATCGGTCCAAGTTTTGGAATAGTCCCCATATAACGGTACCTCCCGATATTCGGTATTTTGATGATTTTTGCCACATTTTTTCACGGATTTATCTGAAAATCGGTATTTGTAGGTCTTAACGGGTCCCAGCTCGTGTGGCGAGACATTGCATGTATAAGTCTACGTTTTGGTATAGTGCCCATATAACGGTACCTACCGATATTCGGTATTTAAATGGTTTTTGCCACTAGAAAATGATATTTGCGGGTCTCAATGGGTTCTAGCTCTTTTGGCGAAACACTGTATGTATAGGTCCACGTTTTTGCATATCCCCATATAGCCGTATTTCTCGATATTCGGTATTTTGATGATTTTTGGCACATTTTCCCATGAATATGTCTAAAAATTGGTATATGTGGGTCATAACGGACTCTAATGTTTCCTTTACCCTAAGGTGGAGGGCATTAAAAATTTGGCCCGGCCGAACTTAATGTTTTTTAATTGTTCGTACTCAAAATGCAAAATTTTTTGAAAAAAAATCTGAATCAAAACTTCAACATCCTACCAAATTTTATTGGACTTTCATGATTATATATATGTTTTACGAGTTTTCCTTTTTCGGAAAAAATAAAAGCACATTTCGTTTTGAAGGAATGGATCCATATCCAATAGCTTAGAATTGACAGCTTTCTGAAGTTGGTTGCAGTTTTTACATCTCGCCCTGCATGGCTACCAATATAAATCGGACGAAAATATATGTACCTCTATCTAAATCTGAACCGATATTCACCAAAATTGCCAGAATTGAAATATCTTGAATTATGAAACCAAAAGATTTTCAAATAAAACTTCCGATCTCTTTTATTAAAAGCATACTGCTGACTGCTTAAATATTCTTAATCGTTTGTAAATTTTCAACAAATGTAAAATCTAAAAAAATTGCACTGTTGATGATCGAGAAACGTGGTCACAAAATTAAGTTCTGTTTGTTCTCTGCGTTCAAATTTGCATTCACAGCAAATGGCAAAACAGTCGGTGTACAGCACAAAATTGACAACATCCAAAAGTGGCACGAGATTCTCAACATTCAACTCGTGTGGTTATTGATTGCAATGTTTGTGTCACACACACGCACGCTCACACAAGTATCTAAGATGGTACTTTGAAGACATTTCGTGAGCATCCTTGCCATACCCCTAATGACTGCCTGGAATTAGAACAACATTTCGTTATCGACTGAATTCGTTGATTGGCTATGGTAGACTTGAAAACGTTTTTGGTATCTTGTCATAGTTGGGCAAAAATTTGTGTACTTGATGTGAATGCCAAATGTTTTGAGGTAATGTCTCGTCAGACAACACTCAGCGCTTTAAGTGCCAGGAAATTCAAGAAAAAGATGGTAGTTTCCATGTGGCCTTTATGTATAAATAATAGGTAATGCTTTTATTGTATTGACAATCATGTAATATGTATCCTGGATGAATTTATGATACAACAATTTATTTTAAATAACAACTTTAAAGTCTAATTTAAAAAAATATTAGAACTTCAAATACCATTAGAACTTCAAATACCAAATTTGAAACAATTTCGATTAATAATGTCGCTAAAATCATCAAAATACCGAATATCGAGTGGCGCCGTTATATGAGGGCTATACGAAAGGGAGGACCTGCACAGACAATTGTCCATCAAAGGCTGTAAGCAATTCTGGTGAATAATGTGCTAAAATCATCAAAATACCGAATATCGTAAGGTACCCCTATATAGGGTCTATACGAAGACATGGACCTGCACAGATAATTTTCTGTTATAGGCTGTAATATCCTTTACGAACATCAAACAACAAATTCGAAAGAATTTCGGGGAACAATGCCGCTAAAATTGTCGAAATACCGAATATCGGGAGGTACCGGTAATATGAGGGCTATACGAAAGGGTGGGCCTGCACAGGCAATTTTCTGTCATAGGCTGTAGTAACCATAACGAACTTCAAAAAAAAAAAAATTCCGGAAAATAATGACGCTAAATTATCAAAATACCGAATATAGGGAGTTAACGTTATATGGGGGCTACACAAAGATGTGGACCTGCACAGACAACTTACTGTCTTAGGCTTTAGTATCCATTACGAACTTCAAATACCAAATTTGAAACAATTCCGGTGAATAATGTCGCTAAAATGATCAAAATACCGAATACTGGGAGATACCGTTTTATGAGGGCTTTACAAAGACGTGGACCTGCGCATACAATTTTCTGTCGTAGGCTGTAATATCCATTTGAACTTCAAATACCAATTTGAAACATTTCCGGTGAAAAATGACGCTAAATCACCAAAATACCGAAAATAGGGAGGTACCATTTTATGGGGGCTATACAAAAACTTAGACCTACATTTTCAATAACAAAAATCCTGCAGACATAATATACATTTGAGTAAAATTTTGTCAACCTACTTCGTTTCGTTTCGTTCGGAAGCTCGAGTGATTCCACAGACGGTGTACATTTTCAGCTGATCTTTTTTTGTTTATTTACAAACAGCTGGACAACGAATGTTTTCTCACAAACCATTTTTCGGCCACTGCGACGCGTGTTTCGATCAAGTCTCTTCTTTATTTCTCGAACCAATTCTGCTGATGTTGCTGTTTTCTTCCGTCCACTTTCTTGACTTCGGGCTACGCTACCAGTATCACGGTATCAAGCGAGTACGAGACACAAAATATTTACTCACATTTAGTAGTAGGAGTACTCTAACGGTAGTCACTTGTGGTTTTCCAGCCACATATAAAGGAAACACACTATCACGCTTAAATTCCATCACGAATAACTTCTTTTCTGCAAAATTCTCACCAAAATGCTTTTGTACGCTTTTAAACAATATAATGAGCTGGCACTGGAATAATTTTAACAGTTGTCGAACAAGAGGCTTAGAAATGACAGCAGTCTGAAATTGGTTGCTGTTTTTTCATCTCACCCTGTATATCTGCATTTTAAGGGTCTTAAACTTTGTCCTTAAAGGGATTTGTAGTTTCTTTCCACCACACAAATTGTTAATGTCTACTAAAAAAACATAGTTTATTTCCTCATCAAAAAATAAACAATTTCAACAAAGTCAATGTAATGCTTTAGCAATTACGATCCTATCAAAACAATAATTTGCTCTTTTCTTAGAGCTCATACATTTTTTATTTTTTTTTTTTTACTTATTGCTGCTGTTATTGTAAACTCTATGGCAAAAAAAGACTCATTTCATTTGGCTTGAATAAATGTTTACTTAATTCGTATCAGGCTTGAACGGTCGAACAACAGACCACACAACCACACCTAGTGGCCAGCAGCGTGTGCGGATATAGAGAAAATACTAAATGAAATTACTAAATGAAACAACTGTAAAGTAAATGAAGGCACGAAGGAAACTTTGCAATTTAGGTCTGAACACAAAACAATTACTCCGACCTATAGCGACCAATAGTTCCACATCCCCCCCTCAACCCACCGGCCTTCATTAGGTTGTGGCAGTTTCTCTTTTTATCTCTTGTTTAGATAGATTGCTGTTGTTTGAATTCCCTTTTTAACACAATTTTATTTCCATTCAATTCGAAGAACAAAAACTAACCTAACCCAGGTCTGAAGACATGGACCACAACATCTGAACCTTATTTTTTTGTATTTTGTTGCTGTTATTGGATCGAAGATATTTACTACATTCTCATTCTTTTTTCTGTTTGTTTCCCATTTCAGGCGGATAAACCAAAAGGCTATGCAATTTGAAAGCCTATTCTTGCCGTAGCAGCTCCATACAATTATTTTCAATTCAAGTCGAAGCATTTGCCCAAACACGCACACATACCCAAGTGGTGGTGGTAGTGGTGGAGCGTGTAACGAGTTCATGGCTAAAACCGCAACGCACATCCAGTGGAAGTGGAAAAGAAAAGTTTGCCTTTCTCTGTTGGCCAACTTGAGATTCACATGAAATTTCATTTAAAGAAAACACACAACAACAAAAACAAGAACAAATACCAATAACAGTAGCAACATCAACACAAACACTATTAACAACAACAGAAGCAGCAGCAACAACAACAACAACAACGACACACCTAGTGCTTGTTGAGTTAACAAAAGCCAACGGAAGATTCATCAGCTTCACTTATTCAAAATGCTTACAAATGCATTGCATAACCTATGAAATCAGTTGATACGTCGAGGGAGCCTGGGAAACGATCCTGACCACAACTTTGACAGGCAACCGAACTGAGACCCCCTTAGACGACATCGCGGTGGTGAGGGAGAGGAGCAAAACTTGTTGTGTCACGCACAACATAAACAGCAACAGAGAGTTGGGAAAACAGTCAGCCAGTCAGTCCGTCGGTCGGTAGGTCGGTCAGTCGGCTGGTCATCATGGTTAACCATTCCGATAATGAGTTTTCGTTTTGCTGTTAACCGCAGTAATGTAAACCCAAAAACAACAACAAAAACAGCCGGTTGGGTCAGTAAACAGGAAACGGAAGTCACGTCAATACAAGCAGCATCACCGCCACAACTGTAATAGCAAGCGGCGCTACAATAGGCCCACGACAACAAATATTGTAACACCCTCCCAATTGCTCTCCACCTCCGCCATACATCCAGCTCTTCATTGCCAGCATCAGAGTGGCAGCTTAGCCCAACAACAATAACGGCAATCAAATTTTCTAAGCCGCAACAAAAGCACCCACACAGAACCGCAAACGGTTCGAAAACAAACATTGCAGAATTCGAATCAGCACCCCCAACAGAAACATAGCCGAGACCAGAACTGAACATTTCAACGCACCCCTTCCTACGACGCGCCCTAAAACAAACACACTGCAAACAAAGTTCCTGGCCGGGGTGACAGGATAAAATGAAGCATTTGGAGGACTATCAAATCGGGTTTATTTGCAATATTATCAAAATATTTAAAGGATGAAGAGTGGCACGTCATATTGGACCATACCATTTGTTGTTCACAATTTATTAACCTTTGCTGTGGTCATTGGTTTGCAAAATTATTTGCTATGTAAGTACCAACCCGACATATTTTCTTTTTTAATTATTTAAATTTGTTGATTTCGAAGTGGAGATTTCTTTGGAATTGAAATGGGTTTCAGTATTAAAAAATATATTGTATTTTTTTTTTTTTTTTTTTTTTTTTTTTTTTTTTTTTTGGTATATGGGTAGAGTTCCTGATTGTGTTTATGGCATATATACATATCAATGATTCAAGACATTAAATAGAATTATTAAAAAAAAAAATCCAGCCCTATTTGTTACTCAATTATTTTATACTGAACTAGCAAGTTTCCGCTACTTCGTCAGCGAAAAGGCCACCTTAAAATGTTAGATTCGTTCCAACAATCGGTGTTAGGCCTTTTTCTGTCCAAAATTATATCATAGTTTTTATACCCTCCACCATAGAATGGAGGGTATATTAAGTTTGTCCATTTGTAACACCTCGAAAAATGCATTTTAGACCCCACAAAGTATTCATATATTCTGGATCAGCATAAAACTCTACGTCGATTTAGCGGTATCCGCCCGTCCATCCGTCTATGAAAATCACTCAAGCTTCGGAACGAAATGAAGTAGATTGATAAGTTATGTCCGCAGGACTTTTGGTATTGAAAATGGGCCATGTAGGTCCACGTTTTGGTATAGCCCCCATATAACGGTACCTCCCTATGTTCGGTATTTGAGCGACTTTATCCACAGGAAATGTTTTAAATTTGGTATTTGAGGTTCAAAAAAAAAAAATTCAAAAATGGTGGAGGGTATTCAAAGATCGGCCCGGTCGAACTTACAGCTTTCTTACTTGTTTTTTATATTTCTGGCAATAAATCCTAGAAACAAACAATGACTTCAATAACAAACTGCAGGATTCAAGCCATATTCAAAACCCAATCCCAAATTCACTACTATACTTTTCGTCCAGTTATACTACGCATGTCCAAAAAATCATCCTTCTTTTCAACCAAGAAACCAAGAGTGGCCTCGATACCAAATTTCAGAATTCCAATTCTATCCTAACACCCGTACGGCGTATTTTCTGGCATTTTCCACTTTTCATACGTTCATAATTTGTCCATTACCAAATTTAGTACCATGTTGTAATTATAATACGCACAAGCAGATATTTTTTTCAAACATAGACACCAAGAGTCAGTAAAATTTCAGGATTCCAGATCTATCCATTCGACCAGTTTATTACTTTATAGAACCTTTCGAATGATTATAGAACACATTTCTAAAACCATCTCTATATTTAACCCACATACACCAAAAGTGATATCCGTATCAAATTTCAGGATTTCAGATCCATTCCTTCACACAATACCAAATTAATTACTATAAAGTACTGCAATATATAGTACTATATAGTACTGCAAAACCTCTTCCATATCTTAATCCCACATACCAACAGAGACTTAAAAATCGAATTTGAGGATTCCAGTCCTTTACCCAATATGCAATTTGGTACCATTTAGTATTTTTCGGTGCCATCTACATCAAAATTCAGGATTTCAACTCCATTCCTTCACCCAATACTAAATTTTGCACTTTTCGTACAAATATATTGCAAATTTCCAAAACTACCTCGATATCTCAATTCCAGATACCAACAGAGACCTCAATATCAAATTTGCGGATTCCAGCCCTGTTCCTTCACCCAATACCAAATTTAGTACCATTTTATACTGTTCGTACAAATATAGGACGCTTTCCAAACTATAGCCAAATTAAAATACCATTAGCTTTACAAATATAAATTTTCAGAATTGTATCTCTCTCATTTCACTCATTGCTAAAAATAGTACCATTCAATACTTTTCGTACAAATATAGGATGGACAGTGACTTTAACATCTAATATTAAATTTAAGATTTCAAGGTGTAGAGTACAGTTCGCTACTTACTTTCCAAACCTTTATTCTCATACCGAATTTCAGGTTTTTAGTTATATCCGTTCACATAATTCCAAATAGTACCAGTTTAGAAATTTTTCGTTGTTGCAAAATCGTCGTTACCTTAAATTTCGAATCTCAAAAAAACTCGTTGATAACCTAACCTGCACTCCATCAGTGACTCTCATTGAAGAATACATTTTTTTCTTCATTTTAGTACTTTTCGTACCCTTTAGTCACATGAGTCGACGCACCAAGACTGAGCTTCATGCAAAAGTTGGGTATCTGGGTGTTGATTCTCAGTCAGATATTTCACTACTCTTTTATATATATATATATATATATATATATAGAGGATATATAATTTTAACGCCCAAAATTTGTCCAGTGAAATAACGGTTGTCTGACCAGCTGCTGCAAACGAGAACTCTAGAATATAAGCATAAGATTTATATAAAACATAGATAAAATCGGAAATGTGCAAAAACTGTCAATTTTTCTGGAAACTCCCTCACTCGCAAAAATTTCAGAGAGTGCACACAATTTCAATATTTGATTGACGAAATAGTTTCATTCGTTCTTGTACCTTCCCTACAAAGGGCTTCTATGATTAAATCTTGACCGTAAACTTGACTTCGTGCAAAAATTCGTAATTGCGACGATCAAGTTTGAGCAGACGGGCATATATGGTACAGATCGGTGTACCTTATGAGAGTCCTGAACTAATATTCCGATTTACTATAAATTTTTTGGACAGAAAGTCCAATAACAACAATACTCTGGGTTTTTTGGTACAAATATATGGACAAGCGAAGAGGCATGCATAAATTGACTCAGAATGTGAAATGAGGTGTATGTCTATGTCATTGATGCAAATATGTTCTTGATATATAATGGATATAGAGATTTCTTTTCTTTGGAGACTTACAATAAAATTTGATGTAGAACAATTTTGTCTCTGACGTCATTTTTCTAAAATTATGCTTTGTAGGAGATTTTTGCACAAACTCACACAAAGTACGGCTTTTAGCCTAAAATGTTCTTTAATGTATTGGAATACCCGGAGTTTAGGTAAGATGTAGAAGTTTGGTGTATTCTAGGACCTCTGGTACAATTTTATTACAAAGAAGAATATTTTTGATTGCTACGATCCCATTTTAAAGGGGTATTTAACCATTTTTTGGAGAAGGGATAAAAAAAAGACCAATTTCATGACTCGTTTGTGGGATAAAATTTTCGACCAAAATTTTTCTCATATTTTTAATGCCAATATTGTCAAAAACACTACCTCAAATAAAAATATTCCAAGAAATCTTGAACCGAAAATTAAAAAGAAAAAATAGAAGAGGGAAGAATTACACCTCTATTAAGGTTTTTTTGCGATGTAAACTTTCAAAACGCCGATACACGTGTAATCTTTTTTAGCTCTATTTTCATAATCCGCTGGATTTTCCCAGAAATTATTTTTGTGTTGCACAGTGTATTTTTAAAAATGCTAATCATGAATTGGAGAAACGTTCCTTCTATTACAGGAAAATAAGGGTTCAATTTACGATAACAGAATTCACCAAATTCATCTGCCTTTGTCTTGAACAATCTTTAAATATGAAAATATATACGTCTTTAAAAATATATGTTTTTTTTCCTTAATGTCAGCTTCTTTATTTATACTTTCGTTCCTTTTTTTCCTTCTTCGTTCCTCTTTCCTTATTTTCATTTCATTTCAGTTTCCCAAAAATTAACTCATTGATTAAATCACAGTCAGCTGCTTGTTTATACTTCCGAAACATTGTTCGGCAAGAGTCCACAAGCACAAGTGGAAAAACATGTCTCTGTAAATCAGTATTCATGACATACACTTCATGTTGACCTCTTCACTGGGTTTGTCAACTTGTGCGCTGCAAAAGCAAATAAATATTGTGGCAGGCCTGCCTATTGGCAACAAGACCAAATAAAACCAAGGAAAACCAAAGAAAAACACAGAAAACAGAAATCATGTCCATAAGTTCAAGTAGTTGCTTACTTTTCCTTGTTTGTTCACTAATTTACATTTTGGCAAAGGACACGCTCTGAATTATTCAAAAATTGCCCTAGGCAATGATTTCTTGGTTCTTGATGACATTTCATTGTTGTTATTGTTTTCATTGTTGTTGTGACATCTTCTCTCCATGACATTGTATTAAAATATGTATTGTCATTGTATTTATGCATATTAAATTTGACTTACGATTTAAGGCCAAGGGCCAATGGCGACGACAAGCATTTGTGTTGCTTCATCAATAGCATTCGATTATTATTTACATAGGGAAGTTTCAGGATGGAGCAACAAGACATGACTGGAATTAAAGGTTGTTGCCACTACTGATCTCTTTTGTTTGGAATATGAACGGACTTGAAAGACCTTTAGGCCATTAGGATTTGAATAAATTTTATTTTAAAATCGAAAACCATCATCAATGGAGTTACAAACTCAAATGAAGCACTACTAAAACTCGGACAGCAGAATACGAACATAACTGTGCATACATACATCTATTTGTAAAAAAAAGTAGATCATGAACCGAAAGCCGTTTTGCATGGAACAAACACAAATGTACCAACGATGGCGCAATGGAAGATTTTCCCAGTATCCCAAAAATAATGACAACTATATTCCATTTGCATTACCAGTAATCAAAAAAGCTATGACATTTAAAGGTAATTTCAAATATCGAGGTTGGTTCTTAAGGGGATAAACAATTTGTGTTAAATCAATATAAGGTTCCTCTGCTTGAACAGATCACAGATACTAGATTAATATTTTCCAGAAAACTACATTTGCTATGGTCAATTTCACCCCCGTAACATTATCCAATGACCAAATCCAATCGAAAATAAAAAGCTTCTTCCCTGTCTTATGCTCTATCCCCATGCAAAATTACGCTTCGATTGCTCTATAAATTTGACCTGTGTAGCAACTGCAAATATAGCAAAATAAAAACTTATATTGGTCCATTTCGCCCCCTATATATTTTGCGTTCATATCTAACAACGATAGGTATCTATTCCGACCCTAACCCTAACAAGATGGGAATTGATATTGGTACAACACAAATTCAGATTGTAACACCTCTAAATAT